TCCGCTGCAACTGCACATGCCGCAATTCCTGCGACAAACCTGCGAACTCCGCTGCAACTGCACATGCCGCAACTCCTGCGACAAATCTGCGAACTCCGCTGCAACTGCACATGCCGCAACTCCTGCGACAAATCTGCGAACTCCGCTGGTCGAACACCGCCAAACTCCTCTGTTTGCAAACGCTCATGTTCGCGATAACTGCACACGAACTCCTGTTCACGAACTCGACCTCGCCTAATGCCGCGAAGGTTAGCCGCCGCGCCACACAGAACCCCGCAGCTGCCTCTACCGCGAACTCCTCGAAGCATAACTCGCCGAACTGGCGTAGCCCTTTATCCGAGTTCCGTCGAACTTCACCACCTCGAATTTCGCACCAGAAAATGTCATCTGAAAATTATTCCTGCAACAAAATTTTCTAAATCCTTGCTTGAAACCTCTCTTTTTTTTTTTTTAAAGGAAAATATTTTTTCTTAATTAAGGAATTTTGCTTAATTATATTTCTTATATATATTATATATATATATATATATGTAATAACTTTCCTTTCCAAAGTAGCAGCAGACCCTTTTTGGTTCCCCGCCGGTGCCAAAATAGAAGAGAATATTTCTCTGGTAGAAATGAAAGATTCATTGATTCCTGAACGCCGAAATTTTTGTTGGCTGCGAAGCTCCGCCCAAGCCGAAATTTCCGCGATCCTTTGGCTTCGCTTCTGCCTCCCGCAAGCCTTCGCCGAAAGCTTCTGCCTGTCGCCCCGCTCCTTTCCTTTTCTGCCCGTTTCTGCTTCGCCACTGTCGCGATTCACGCGAATCGTCTGTGCAGCCGCCTGAGAAGGATGCCGAGCTCCTGCCACTGCCGAACTCCTGCATCGGAGCTTCTCCGCCCCTTCGAGCCCGCAATCCGCTTCCCTAAGCCGCGCCGCGATCAAGAGCCTCTGCTGCCGCGAACTCGTTCCTTATGCAGAACGCCGCGATCCTCCGCTCTGATTTGTAAAACCTCGCCGCCGAACTTCTTGCGCCGATAAAATTTTTTTTTCCCTACCCCCGAACCAGGCTTTGATACCACTTGTTGAGACAAATTAGGGCGAAGAAAAACAGTAATCGACACAAATCCTGAAGAAGACAAAGATTTAACGAGGTTCGACAAAGATGCCTACATCCTCGGGAGCAGAGCGACGACCTCCTTTTCAATATTCAGAAAAGAGTACATAATACAAGATTCAGCTCTCTCAAAGACCTAGGATTACAAACAGGTTTATTTATAATC